TCATGGCAAGTGAGAATAAATGGCATGGAGTCAACTGTCATGGTTTAAAAGATATCCAAGATGTAGCTGTTCCATTAAAATTTGGATTAAAATCATGTTTAAATTTCATTTCCTCTGGTCCCTATCCTGCTTTTGATTAGTTTTAAGAGCAGTTGATGGTCTTGTGATTTGAAGATTTTGCATTTTAAATTTTGTGTACATGGTCTGGAATTTTATGTGAAATCGTGGGTTTGATCTTTGACCTCTGTTTACTACAGTCCTGATTTGCCACTAATTTGATAGCAAGCCATAAGAGCCTACTGTAAACAAGCTGCTCACTTTACATAGCTATGTTTGGCTCCTAAATGAACAAGTATGTATGGAGTATACTTTGGGTACCATAGCCTCCTAAAGAGATAATAAAAAACACATCACTGCTTAGCTCTCCAGGTAACGTTTACATTTCGAGAAAATCAGTTGCATACCTAATAGAGAGAGAAAATGCAATTCTTATCCATCTCAGGTTTGTTTGTTTTAAATTGTTCTTTAAAGTATTTTAGAGCTCAGGCTGTCTCTTTTGAAGTTAGTGGGAACTTTGCCATTTTTTTGGAAAGGATCAGTATTAAGCCTAAATTGGTAGAGTCTAAAAGGCAAAAATGAAAATATCCAAAGTCTACAAATCTCTCACTGATCCACCATCCAGAAAGGAAAGACAAAAGACTTTTCCAAGGTCTGTAATGTACATCTTGATTCCAGGACTCCTGTTTCTCATACATTTGTAGGCTTCAAGATGGAAAGTAACTTCCAGAGATTGATAGCATATGGAGTAGGACACACTTGTACTGTGGACTTGTAAAGGTGCTGGGGGAAGGGAGATGAAAATTACATGTAAGTATCAATGTACTGTCTGCACAAATATTACACAATTTGTTCTGTGCTAGTACTACACAATATACCCAACTGGGCAGATTCCCCAGCTCATGGGATCAGTCCTCCAGGTACCACCTTTATTTAACACAGTAAATGATCCAGCAAAAGCCTGCTGATGGACACTTAACTTAGAAATATTTTGGCACAATTTTTGTGCTTTTAGCACTAACATGACACTAGCAGCCATATCCTCAAAGCCAAGGACTTCACTTTCTCTTCTGTTGCCCAGCTGAGACCATCCATCCCAGAAGTGAACTTTCCATTTCCAGGACTCTGTCTGAACAGTGGAGAGCAGACAGTGGTAGGAGCACCAACATACCCTGAAGAAAGGGCTGCTTTCCTATTGGACTGAGAAAGTAACCATAACTTCAACCATTTACTGGCTTAAGGAGTATTCATAACTGATCAAAACCCATTAGACAAGGAACATATACTTTCCTTATCTAAAAATGTGGTTCATCTACAGTGACGAAGTGTAAACTCTGAGAAGTGATGGGATATTGGCCAACAAAGCTTACTTCCTGCAGTGCAACCACAGTGCAGTTCCGGACTGTTCCAGCTGCTATCAAAATCACACCAGAAACAAAAAAGAGCCCAATGGGCACAAATGCAATTAAAAAGGAAAAGAACTTTTGATGATAGGAACTAAGGCATCTCTTGTATTCGATCCTCTGACTGGCAGTGAGGCAGGTCCTTAGAAGCTTGCTCTTCTGCCATCCTATCTTCTAATTGCAGAAGCTGTAGGTACCCACCAACCAAAATATAACCTTAGTAAAGGAATAGGCTTTGGGCTCCTCTCCAACAAGAAAGGCTTCAGACAACCAAGTGCGTGGAGTGCCTGAAATGAAGAAAATCTAGAATCAGGTTAAGCTATTCATAGAAGAAAGCAAGGAGCTTAAGGCAGCTAGAGCTAAGGAACTGCATGCAAAGGACAGCACAAAGACCCTGTTGTTTCTGTGGTCCCAGTACAGACAAGACAGAGTTCAGGGAGTGACAAGGATGAAGCACAGTACCAGATAACCAGGGCCTGAGGTCAACAAAATGTCCATTGCAGTCTACAAAACTTTGTGACTCAACATACAAACATCATCTTTTGTTAATGGAGACCCTTGGCCAAGGAACATGTGATAGAAATACAAAATCCAAGTAGGGGAAACCATGCAATTAAATCCCACAATAGTCCATTGTGCCTCCATTGCTCAGAAGTAATGCAAGCTGATAAGAGAGCCACACCTTCTCTCCTACCCCAAACTGACTCGCAATAGGATGGGAAGTGTTGAAGATTCCCATCTTGTGCATGACTCAATTTAAGCATCCTTGAGATTTTCTAGCAGCACTACCAACTCAGGCAGCATCTCCTCCATCTTCGGCTACTCTGAAGACTGGAAAAACTGCTCTCTGTCAAAACATCCCATCTTCTGTTTTGCCCCCATGGAACATGTCAGAATATTCTGAGCATGGGTCTCAAGGTATTTAGTGCCTTTATGCCCGTCACTTCAGTATCACTTGCAGCCTGAAATCCACAACATACATGTACGGAGACACGTGCACATACTGGACTGGTTTAAATAATGCAGGGTGGTAACTGAGCAGAAATTGTTTCTAAAGTGCTGTTTACTTTCCTGTTAGGACTGGCTTAAAACCTAAAGAAAGGTTAAATTAATCTGAGTAACTTTGAGCTCTTACACATGTGAAACAATCTGAGATTTTAATAAATAAAGCATGCCACAAGGGCCCCTGGAGTGCTTAGACAGAGCAGGCATGTCTGGACCCAGTGCAGAACAACGATCCATCACTGCTAGATCAATTTCAAAAGCAATTCAACAAGAGCTCCACGTAGACAGCATTACAGAAAACCTGTTACAATAGCATTCTTATGCATGAGAAAACCACAGCCACACTGTGTTTTAGGTAGGAAACCAATGAGAATAAAGGAAAACAACAAGACTATCCTCGAGATATTTTGGGCTCTCCTCTCCTCCCACTCCCCTTAGACTCTGTTTCAATCTCTTAGCAGTTTCTGAATTTTTGGCAACAGAGGACTATGTTGCATAGGTCACTGCCAGCCTGGTGGCAGTGGCCTGGTGGAGACTGCTGTGGATTTTGGCCACCAGAGATAGCTTTGGGCCACTGCTTGCTGAAATGCCAACCTCATTTCTCCCTGTTCTGAGCTGGAGCAGAGGTGACTATGGGTGATGGAAGAGTTGGAGAGTCTTCCTCAGTCCAAGCAATCTTTGTCAACTGGTTAATGTTTTTCCTCCTTGCCCCAGGATCTGCCATCCAACAAGTGCAAATTGAGGATGACAAATAAGAACATTAGCCTGGTGTTTCTGCTAAAATGATCCTCCTTGAAGTAGCTGATGTTGACACTTAAATTGTCAGCAGACTTCCAGTTTAGCTCTCCAGTTAGAAGAATGAGTCCATTCACACTTCCCTCTGACTATTGTTCCAGCTCTCTCTGGACCAAGCAAATATCACTGCAGCAGTTTACACTCCAGTTCCACTTTAAAGTGGAAGGTTGTTGGGTTTTTTTGCAATCATAATACAAATTGCCTAGAAACTTTTTTCTAAATGTAAGCTTGGACTCCAGAGAATAATTACACAACACTGTAAAAATAGTCTGCAGCAATTTACATAGCTGTGAACTATTGGAGCTGTGTTTGGTATTTTTTCAAACCTACCTACACACGGTGCAACTAGCTCCAGTATTTACAGAGGACTCATGGAGCTGTAATCACAGAAACTGGTATTTCCAGTTAGACCAGACACGTGAACAAAACATTTCATGTTATAAAGCAAGGTTTCTTATTTTGAGGTGTTATTTCATCATCTAAACTGAAGCACTGTTTTGCCACTTCTGCCTCTGCCATATCCTAGTTCACCTCTGGCTGGATTCAGATCCCATTCCTGTGGGTAATGCAGGAATCACTGACATAGTAAAGAAGGAAAATACTGATTTAATTTGGTTTCCTTCTTGTAAATGTGCTTTCTTTCCATTTTCAAACAGGTTAATCATACTGGGGGACTGTATCCTCATTTGTCTCTCTACAGTCACCACTGCTGTTGTGATCCATTGGGTATTGCATCTCGTTGCCTTCTGGACCACACTCCCCAGCCTGCTCTCCTGCATGCTGGCTCCCTGAACTTTTTGTTGATGCTGGGACCACCAGTCCCTCTGTAACTAAGAATCAAGCCCATTTCTTCTGCAAAAGAGCAGGAGAAACCTCTTCTGCAGCAGGTGGTACAATCACTGCAGGCTGAGCCTCATCTGTTACAGAAATTGTCACTTTGGACATTTCCAAGCCCAGCTGACCAACATTCCAGTACTTCCACTGTAGAGCATCTTCTGAGCTCTCCAGGTAACAATCAGCTAGCATGCCTGGAGCCAGAAGATGCAGTAGCTTAATTTTTGCTTTCTGTACTCCTCTATAAGACCAATTTTTGTCCCTTAGTGCAACTCTGCTAAGCTCCTACCTTGCTAGCTGCTAGTCTAACTTTTAAGGAGCTTTTTCAGTTGTCTTCCCCAGGAAAGCTTAAGTGATTGTATTAGAAGTAACAGAATGAATGGATAAAGCCACAGGTTGGAAACAAACCCATTTCCTGAAATCTGTAAAGAATCTATTCAGGATACCTACTCCCAGGTAAAATATACATGGCAGAAATAAGAATTTCTGCAAGTGTGTATATGAATATGGAAACAAAACCCATAACCTAGCAGTGAATATTACAGCCATGAGATTTAGGCACTGATTTGAAGGAGTTAAATTCCCAGGCTGCCTTTTCAGAGCAGGGTGGGGCACTGGAGAAGCCAGAGAGGGGGAAAAGAGGCACCTGAGAGCCCTGGGAAGGAGCAGCAACACCTGTAGACCAAGTTCCTTTCCACTCCCCTACGCTTTGATGCAGATCATCTCCAGCTGAGCATCTGCCAGAGTCCTTGGCTGTGCTGTGCTGCTTTGTGCACCCCTAGGCGTGGGGTGACCTACCCGCACAGCCCTGTCTGCACCAGGAAGCAAGTGCCACGTCCCCCACTTGCCTCGCCTCTAACTGCCTATCCCTGTTGCTGTGGCTGCGCATGGGTTGGCCAGGGGGACATGGGCATCCTCCCCGAATCAGAGTGGGCGTCCTGGACAACGTTTTTTGAGGGCACCTTCTCCAGCTCCTGGTACAGCAAACACAAGGTAAGTGCCAGCCCTGCGGCACCAGGAGGGAGGAGTGGGGAAATCATTTCAACTTCTCCACACTGTCCTGTTTGCTGCCAGTACCTGCTCCTTCTGCACCCCCTAAGCAGCGGCAGTGCAGGAGGCTGTGCTGCCTTGGTCTGGAGCATCTCTGATGTTTGCAGTTGAAGTTTCTGATGTTGTCAGTGATGACATTGTGGTATTTGGGCGACTGCAAAACAGAGACTGAAGCGGCCCCCAAGATCTAGCAAGTTGAAGCATCTGCTAACAATAAAAATGAATTGGAGGCTGATTAAATCCTTTACTTCTTCCTTTCTTTTTGCCTCATAAAGTAGGAGGCATGGCAGGGTACTCAACATTCTTGTTTTTCACTACGTAAGAAGCAAACCACTTTTTTATGATGCAAAGTATTGGTATAAATTGTGCATAAAATGGCTTGTTGGTAACTGTTCTCCTTTCTCTGTGAGCAGCCCAGTAGCAGGTTGTAACTCAGGGAAGGTCCCCAAAACGTTTCCCTCTGGATTCTGTATGTGCTGCTGGCTGGATATCCAAGTGGCAGGAAGTATTTCTCAGCTTCAGAGGGGAGGAAAACGCCTCTGCTGGGGTCCCTGAGCAGTAGTGCTCCTGCCTGATGCCCAGTGGCAATGCTTCTGGGGACCAGAGCTGGGACCCCCTAAGGAAAGAAGACTGTAAAGCCAGGAGTTGGTGTGGGTTTGGGAATTAGGGCCCTATGGCTTGGAGTGCTTGCAGAACTGTTGGGGAGTGCAGGGATGCCTGCACATCACAATGGAGTTTTAAATTTGCTTGCAAAACATCTCAGCTCTGTTCCTGTGTTTCTTGGAGTAGTTGTATGAAAATGGCTGGCTTTTAGGCTTGGCAGTTTTCTTGCTCTGGTTTTCTGTGTTGGTATAGTTGAGGCTTTGGAGCAGACAATAAATAACTCTGGGTCATGAGTTGCCAACAACCTTCATTTTCCCAAGAGTTATCTTCTTCTGTACACGCTCGTTTTCACATTTTACATTTTTTGGAAGCATAGAAAACCTTTTCCTCCCTCCACTCCTGGCAAATGGACTGTCCTGGTTGTCTCTGTGGATCAGTCATTTCAGGTCTGCAGGTAGAGGTTCTGTCCTTTCCCCTGGGGAACACAAGGGTATTTTGTCCCCTTCATTAGGTTCTGAAGAGGAGCTCTTTGTTTTCTACCTCTGCCAGCTCTCATATGCCTGGAAACATTCCAGGAAAGAGGAGGTGGATTGTTTTGGAGGAACACTTTTCAGCCCTGTGAGCCATCAGTTTAAAGATCTCCCAGACACGAGGGTCTTGGCATGGCTGGTGGCCACAGCTCCCTCATGCCATGTGAGTATCAAGGACATCCACTGGGGCAAGGAGATCTAAAATATATGTTAGGGAAATCCATGGTACTCAAGTAAGTCCTGAATGACGTTTGTAAACACAAAGCTCTCTGGAAGAAGTTAAAGTGCCTGTATCCTTATTGATCCTAGATATTGGCACAAAGGTAACTGGGGGAATGCGTGCATGCAAAGGCTGGAAGTGGGACTTGCTGGCATCACATGGATGCAGCTTGCTTGGAGCCACTCTGGGCCGTGCACTGACAGCCTTCCCTGTCACAGTCTTGTGTTGTGCATCGTGGGTCATGGACATGTTTAATGATGTAGCAAAATCTGATGAAATACTCATTTACCTGATATATTTCCTGACAAGCTACCACTTCATAATATTTTGTGTCTGTCGGAGTAATGAACATAGGAAGCCACCACATGTGAAATTTGTCTGCTTAATTTAAAGTATATATAATTGCTTTGGTTTAATCCTTTTTAAAATTTCTCTTGGCAAATCTCAAAGGTTGTTTATTTATTTCCATTGTTGTTGTTTATGGGCAAAAACATTTTGCAGCATTAGTTGAGGTTGTTAACTATGATATTAATCAAGGCTTAACTTTGTATCAGAGAAAGAGAAAAGAGCTTGGGTAGAAATAGTCAATGAAAGCTCAGACGAAATGCTTCCTCTATAACTCAGCACTTTATGTGACTGTTGTGTGTAGTCACTGTGTGTGGTTGTTCAAGTGTGGAAGCTGAGCCTGAGAGGGAAAGTCCTTTCGTTTCTGTGTTTTTTTCCCTTCTTTGCCTGTCTCTTAATAAGCTTGGGGTTATTACAGGCTGCCCAGACCCAGACACTCACATCAAGAGGTTGTTTTATTTCACGGGCTGTAATAAGTCATTTCAGCTCTAACCTTGAGGTTTGAAATGCTGACAGCTCCTTCAGACGGACCTGTGGCCTCCTGTCCTGTGGCAATATATCAGCATCTGTCACAGGCTCACTGTGCAGGTGGTGGCTGTGTGCAGACAGGAAACTCAATCTTTGTGTGCTCTGATCTGCTGGCAGTGGTGGCTGCCATCAGGTGTGGTGAGAAATCCCCAGGATTAAGCACATCGCTGTGAGGTCTTTTCTATGCTGCCTTCTATCATATACATGAAATGTGAAGTGCTACAATTAAGGCTTTAGCTCATTGTTTTGAAGGAGGAAGTCTTCAGTGCTTCATCTCTCCTCTCATTGCTATGAGCTCAATGCAGCCTCTTGATGTTCTCAGCAAGGTGATAGCATGGTTTGGCCCCAGAGGGAGCTGCCAGAGAAAGGTTATCTCCTCATATCCCTTGGCTGAGGAAGCACCCCAGAAACAGTGAGATCCTCTTCTGTGAGAGCTGGCACTTGCACCAGAGAAAGCTGTTGTCGCGTGCTGTCGTACAAGCTTTCACCAGGATATTTAAAGCACTTAAAGAATGAATTTTCCCCTGGAAGAAGCAACCACCAGGTATTATCAGGCTGTTAATGGTGCAAACCATCCTATTTTATTTATTTATTTATTTTAAGTGTTTTGTAGGGTGTTTTTTTTTTTTTTTTTTTTTTTCCCCAGTCTCTGTAGTTTCCCTCATGCCATGTTCTACTCCGTGATAAACTGCAGATGCTCACTGTTTCAGGCTGATTGGGAAGCCAGTCCCTGAGCACAAGGAGAGCAGAAACAAACATGTCCTTGCCCTGCTTTCTGCTGCCGTGCTCATCTGTGAAGTCTATGGTGGAAAGTTTTCCCCTACTCCAGCTCCCTCTTCTAAAACTATTGAAAGTCAACAAGGGTATCAAACTGACTCTACTTCCTCATATCATTCTCAACCTGTTAGGTTTCAGAGTTCAGAGGGTTTGCATTTCCTTCATTATACAGGTGAATGTGCATGGGAGAAAATGTGTGCAGAATTCTCAGTGGGAACGCATGTTCTTTACAGCCCTTGAAGTTATAAAAAGGAGATGCCTCTCACTTTTAATCTGTCATGGGGAATCCAAAAGTCAAAACTTATAATTAAAAAAGCACTGTGAGCACTTGCTGTCAGTGCCGTTACATGCTCTTCTGGTGTGTTCTGCTGTTGGGAATCCAGCAGCAGTTCCACTGCTCTGTCCGCATTTAATTAAGCTCTGCTAGAAAAGGACATTTTGCTTAGGATCACAAGTGCAGGGCTGTCAGCTGGGCCAGTTTTGAACACAAGCTTTCAGATCCTGCCAAAGCTCCAGCTCTGATCTGCACTCTCCAGGTTAGAGAAAGAACAGCTGCTGCATGAGAATTTATTAATTACTCACACATAAAGGAAATAACTACACAGGAGCCTTACCCTTGTCCTGTCCCCCTTGTGCTCATACCATAGGCAAATTTGTATTATTGCAGCTCTCAAATTCCTTTTTTCCTCTATTCACTGTAGGAAGAATGAGAGTAAGCCATAGGGCAGTTTATACCTTAATGTAGGGAAGGTAGGGGATGGGGCAGAAGGTCTGGAGCAGATGCCATGGATGAGCAGTAGTCCAAAGATTGGAGGCAGCTTACAGTTTTCTCAGCCAATCTGAGGAATGACCTGATTTTCACCAGGCACTGCTCTAGGTCCAGAACTATATGTATATAGACCCAACTAGAGCTCTGCTGAGCATCTGTTTCCTGATTCTCACTGGGTTATTTTTCCCAAATCTCAGACTTTTTCCAGTGCTTCCCCTTCCACCTTTGTTACAGTAAAATTAGTTTTTCAGTTTTTCTGAGGATATTAAAGAGCATGTGAATTTGATTTTCCTTCCTTCCTTCCTTCCTTCCTTCCTTCCTTCCTTCGATAGAGTTAACCAGAGGCTTCTTAATTATTCTAATCCGTTTAATAGATTTGAGAGCGTTAATTTGGAATTTTCTAGGCAATAATAACATCTTGTCATTAGTTGGAAAGGGGGAGCAGAAGACCAGTGCAAGAGAACTTTACTCACCATTTTACATATGCTGCTTAGTGCAGAAATTAGTTTTGCTGTGGACTGCTTCAAAATGGAATTCAGCTGAAAGATTTTTGTTATAGTGCAGACTCTGTCAGATATCCAGCTCATGCTGATTGCAGAGCTTAAAACAGGCACTGTCCTTCAGGACAGTGTTTCAGAGCAGCAGAATCAGATTTACTCTGGAGCAGAGAAGAGTGATTGCTTCCCCTTACCATCACTAAGTAGGAAACATCAGGCACAGGACAAGCTTCAATCCCTACTCTGCTTTGTTTTGCCCACCCTGAAGCTCTGCAAATAATGGGCTTTAAATTAAATTGGCCATGGCTATTATGTTGATTTTGGTGTCCCACAGTCTTGCCTCAGAGTTGCTTCTGGGGCATCATTAAAGATAGTGAAGATATCAAACCTATGCTTCTGCTGCTTCACTTGCTGTAGTACCTCATTTGGTGAGACAGTTTGTCTGGATAAATGCACAGGGGAATACTCATCTAATTTCTTAAATAAAAGTTGCCCTTCTCATAAAATCCCGCCTATGACCATATGGGCATTTATGATTTTGTGATCCAAGGAAGACTTCATTGCTCTCTGAAGCTAAGATACAATGTTCATCTTCTTATGTTCTGGAAGTCTGCTTTGGGCATAAAAAAATTGATGTCTCAATCTTACCCTTGCATCTCTAGAGCAGTATGCTG